TTTAGTTTGATTCGAGCAAGACCATGATTAGCAAAATAAAAAACCACCCATAATTACAATATTCGACTATCCTCCGAATAACGGTCAAAAATTATTGAGGCAGAAAATATACCCTAACAGGGCCTCAGTCACGTGTCAATTGCGCACTTCCTGGGACTATAACGCCACCACTGAATTGTGCACTTTCGGTACCGCCGAGAGTATTCCCCACGCAGCGTGGACTGGGGCCAAACTAGACAGCCAGGACTCACGAGCAAATAAAATGAAGGAAGTTGCAGAAGATGCGGTAGCTGCTGCTCGTGAGCCCCGGCCATCTAGTTTAGCCCCAATCCACGCGTGGGGAATAATCTCGGCGGTGGCGGAAGTCGCCGGAAGTGCGCAATTTCAGATGACGGAAGTGCGCAATTGACACGTGACTGAGGCCCTGTTAGGGTATATTTTCCGCCTCGATAATTTAGGACCGTTATTCGGAGGATAGCCAATTCAATATAATATATTTGCAAGCATAATTTTTCTTTAAAAAAAAAGTTCTGGTATTAAGTACCAAGCCAAAAAGTATCTTAGAAAGGTGCAGGCACCACAAACTCAAGTGTCTATTACTATCCTACTGCGTACCACTGGAAAACCCTAGCTAGCCAGACTGGAAAAGCAAACCAAAATTCAAAATGAAATTTTAAAAATATATATATATCAATTAGGTGTACAGGTAGTCTCTGTATCTGTCAGTGTGATAGCAACAGATGGAGAGAGAGAGAGAGAGAGAGAGAGAGAGAGAGAGAGAGAGAGAGAGAGAGAGAAACTAAAGGGAGAGACTATCCTATCCAGAGATCCATCCAGGCGAAAATTATAAAAAAAAATTAAAAACGTAATTATTATAAAAGCAAATAAAAAAGAACTTTAAGAACACAAAGGCCACATGTCAATGTCATCTTAAATGTATTGTATAACTTCCCATTCATTGAAATGTCCTATACTTACTACTACTACCCTTAAAAAAGGAAAATTAGCTAAATTTAATAAGTAACAATGTGTGCGACGAGCAATCCCATTTCAGCCAAGACAACAATCACCAAATTCTGAAGAAAAAATCATTTATTTAAAATGTGAAGTCAAAGTGACCAATTCAAAGTCAGAAAAGATCAAAATTATTAATTAATTATTATTATATATTATTAAATAATACCGTACGCTAGTCAGTACATTACTGGATTTCAAATTTACCTTTTTATCTCTGTTTCTTATCCAAGGAAGATACAACAAAGTCCTGTGTTAAAATATCACGGTGACACAACTACCTAACTAAAGGAAAGGGGATGACACATTCTTACGAAACCGGTTCGGTACATTAAAAAAAATGCAGTTGTCCGCCCGCCACCACCTGTCAGTGACACACTTTAGAGACCAGCTCCACAAGCAGTCAGCGACTGAGATATAGCTTTTAAAATGACACTGGACATAAAATGTTTGGTACACGTTCAACTTGGCATTTCAATTCTTATACGAAAACTTGTCTTGATGACATAAAACAGACAACAAACACGTTATTTACAACTTCCACTCACCGGTCCTGCGTCTGTTTGGGTAAAGAAACTTTTGCTTAAACAGGGCACCGGAAGTGGCAGGTGCGAAAGCGAGGCTCCAACAGACATTTTTGTTTACCCTAGATACGGAGATTCCTTTTTGTAAAGGTTGTCGCATATTTATATTTTTTTGCAAAGTTAATCACCGTGAAACTAAAATAGCATAAATGTTAACTGATTTATGTTGACTTAATATTTGACATAATATTTATTAATATCTGCATAAGATGTTAACATAAAAATCTTTAGAATTTCCTGGACAGCCAGAGCAAAAATTTTTTTGAGCTACCCAATGATTTGAAAGAGGTTTCAAAGAGGCGAAGGGTGAAAAACAACTTATCAGGCAGAGACACTCGTAAATGTTTGGTCATGTTATGAGAAGAAGAAACTAGAACATTTTTTGACAACTGGAAAGATCTGTGAGAAAAGATACAGAGGAAGACAACGCGAAACGATTCTTGACACAGCCTTGCTTTAGTACTTTAGTCAGGGTGTTGAAGCTTTCAATGAAGGAGAGGAGGGTGTCAATACACGAACTGTGATACAATACATGCTCAGTAGGATGCTGCTGAAGAAAGCAGATTGCGGAGAGGCATGATCGCCCACACCAATCGGCAAGACACTTGATGAGGATGATATATATATATATGCCATGAAACTAGTTCTGTCATTTCAGTAGCATGAATCTTTGGCTATGTTCTGAATAACGGTCCCAAATTATCGAGGCAGAAAATATACCCTAACAGGGCCTCAGTCACGTGTCAATAGCCTACTTCCGGCGACTTAAATTGCACACTTCCGGTGGCTTCCGCCACAGCTGAAATTACCCCCCCCCCCCCCCCCCCCCCCCACGGCGTGGATTGGGGCTAAACTAGATGGCTGGGACTCACGAGCAGCAGCTACCGCATTTCCTGCAGCTGCCTTCAGTTTATTTGCTCGTGAGTCCTAGCCATCTAGTTTAGCCCCAATCCACGCGGCGGGGGGGGGGGACACACATCGGCGGTATAGTCCCCCGAAGTACGCTATTGACACGTGATGGAGGCCCTGTTAGGGTATATTTTCTGCCTCGATAATTTGGGACCGTTATTCAGAAGATAGCCGAATATTTTATACTCATGCATTGGTTCTGGCTATATTCTACAGAATCACTCAGACGAGTCAGTAGCAAATTTAATTTATCAGTGTGGAAGTAAAAGTACAGACCGGATAACATGATTCTGTAGATTAGTGGTTCATTATTATTAAATTAAATCTGGCTTATCTGTAAGCACTGTTGGCTCCCTCACATGACAGCAGATGCCCTCCGACTTCAAAGAGAACATCCCAGCTGACAGGCCATGCTGCTGATGTCACCAGGTTGGGCTAACAATGCGTTAATGTAGCGGTTCTGGAAACGGCTGCCAAGGCACCCCGGGGTGACGTGAGCATATGCCAATGGTGCCGCGACAATAATCAAGAAAGGTTGTCTAAAAATGTTGAAATTATTAAAGAAGGCATGTAGATACTTACTTACTTACTTACTTACTGAGTCGCTCCTCTTCTACCTTGGGGTGTAGAGGTTTTCCAGAGAGATCGCCAGACGTCTCTATCAGCAGTTTTCTTTCTGGCTTTGTTCCATTCCAGTCCTCTGTCAGTCAGGGACTGTCGGATGTTGTCTTCCCAGCGCACCCTGGGTCGTCCCGGAGGTCTGGTTCCCTGGTTCTTAGCCTCCCATGCTTGCCATGGTGACCGATTTTCTCCCATTCTGCACACATGTCCAAACCATCGTAACTGTGACTGATCCACTCTGGTTTGTAAGAACTGGGTATCAAGATCTTGACGTATTGTCTGATTGCGGACTTTGTCCCTTCTTGTCACTTGGACCACCTTTCTCAGGTATCTCATTTCCGAGGCCTGCAGCTGGCTTCTGTGAGCTGTTGTCATTGCCCATGACTCACACCCATAGGTCAGGACTGGTACATAGGTAGAGCGGTAAACAGCCATTTTCGTCCTCTTGCCAATTTCTCTTTTGCTGCTTTTCGTGTAGCCAGCTCAGAGTCTTAAGCAGCTCCATTTTGGTCTAATAGCCAGCTCAAGGTATTTGAATGCCTTAACCTGCTCCAACGCATAACTGTCCCAAGGATCTGGTGTGGCTTCTCCTCTCTTGAACGATCACCATGGTTTTAGTTTTGGAGACACTGATGGTCATCCCTTTCTTTTCAAGCTCTTCATGTAGATGCTCAGAAGTTAAAATTTATGTTGTCTTCCCTCGCCACTGTTGAAAAAAGTTTTTTTTTCTTGTTGAGAACCATTGTAATAATGCATCGTTAGCCCAACTCGGTGACGTCAGCAGCATGGCCTGTCAGCTGGAGCCAGTCATGTTTTGGTCACATCATGGAAGGGAAAACTAGAGTATGTCATGTCCTCTGGTGAGGCATGCATGTGACAGCCAGTGTTGCCACTTTTCTTTAACAAAAAACATCCAAAATGGAGTCAAAAAATATCTACAAACATAGGGAAAACATCTAGAAAAAACATCCAAATGGAAAGAGTCACAAATTACATAGCAATTTATATGACTTACCCTATAGAATTATATCCTCGTCTTTACTGAAGTCTGCCTCACAAGATCCACAGGATAAACTTAGCTTGGATGATGAAGTTAAAGCTTCAGATCCAAAATGACTCTGGTATGCTTCAGCTGTTCCAATTTCTTTTAATACCCAATCAGGGAGCTGATAAGTGGAACAGCCTTTTCCTACTTTTATCAGGCCAAATTTTATTGTCAAGACAGCATTTAAGGGGTCAAATTTCATCCTGTTTCTTGGGTTAGATTTGATAAATTCACTCCAAATGGAAAACATCTAGATAAACATCTACCATCTAAAAGTCAAAAACACCATCTAAATGCTAGGGAAACATCTAAATCTGGATGTAAAACATCCAAAGTGGCAACACCGATGACAGCTGCAATCACTGCTTACCCTTTCCATTGCCAAAGAAGAGTTATTTTATTATTTGTTGTTTCTGTTTACTATTTATTAAAATATGTCACTCAGTTTACGTCTCAAAGATAGTGAAAACACACTCACTGCATGGTTACGCTTCTCATGCAGAAACTGTAACATGTGAAAACTGCCAGTTACTAGTACTATGTTGCTACATGCGCACTAATATCATCAACAGAGAAGCGACAAGGAGGAAAATATCACATGATACGTAATTGATACCTGCCAAAACTTACACATGTAAACTGATCACACCACTGATTATGACAGCGGAAAAGTTGGGGGGAAACAGCATGTGAGGTTGTAGACAGACAAGATTACCAGTGCCACACAGTACAGATAATAGGAATTGAAGTTGACTTCCACCAATAATTCAGTGAACAGCATTGTAATATTTAATATTTATAATTTCAGGTTTTGGAATCAGTGTAAAATGCAGAAGTTGAATCTATCTCCTTATCCGGGCTTCGATGAGACAGGTTCCTATATAGAACAACACCCGAATACACGTGTGAGACCTGATGGAGAAGAATATGCAAACAAAAGCAAAGGATGTATAAATTTGTTCATTTCAGAAAAACATAAACATGTTATACCCCCACCACCGTCACCTAGGCTTCCATCAAGGGAGGCCAGAAACAACTATGAAATATCAAAAACTGGGCACATTGGGAACTTACTAGGGGGCACAGGTCAGCCACCACCAAAGGAGCCTATGCCTGTCGCAAGACTAACTATGGAAAGTATGAGCATCGCAGAATCTCACAAAGGACAACAAATGAACACTTTGTTTACCAAATTTGGTCAACATGGACCATCTGCTCGGCCACCTTCTAGAGTCAAGCATGAAGCTGAAGACAGTGCAGACCTTGGCAGAGGTGGAAGGATGAATGCTTTGCTTCACAATCCAAACTCAATTCCTGATACACCAAGAAGTGTGCCCAGGGTCAGGTTGGATGCCACAGAAATTGCAGAGAAAGGTGTTGCAGGAAGTATGGCCAAGGTGTTTGGACAATATGGAACAAATCTTGGGTCTTGTGTAAGAGTTCCTCGTGTCAAACCTGAAGCAGAGATGATGGCAAAATTGGACAGAGGGATTCAAGTAGAGCGTCTTTTTCATGAGTATGGGAAACAGAAGACTATTACACAACCTGCACCTAAAGTTAGAGATGGCAAAGAAATGGCAGCAATGGACAGAGGAGTGCGAATGTCTAAACTAATGCATGAAATAGAAAAGCTGCCTTCAAATCCCAGACCTCATTCAAGAATAACATCCGCTGCTGGAAGAAGAAATATGAAAAACAACAGAGGAAGCATCAGCAACATTTTTGCTGAAACTTCAAAATGGCAGATAATTCCTAAAGTTGGTGTGAGGCACTGAAGTTATAAATACAACACCTGATAATTGGCATTTTTGCTTATTTTGAAAGCCAGTGTTCTTCTTCCCACGTTCACCAGTTGTATAAACTCCAACAGAAAGTTCTGACTTGTCTCCATTTCTGGATTTCAGACTTGTTCCAGAATTTAAGTTTTGCTTGCATGTCTGTTTGACAGGTTTGGCTTATTTGTTTGTACTCTGACTTCAGAGGAGACCCTCAAGTAGTCAACTTTTACGACATGCTTGTTAGCTGGGCCCACACAGAGAGGAAGCTAGTGGGATTCCAGGGGTAAATTTAGTTTGGCACAGTTCTTGTGCCCTTCAAAATTCCTATGTTTTCTAAAATCACATAAATCCTAATTTGTACCAAAACAAGATGATTCTCACCATATTATTGGATTTTGATATGGAATACATTGCATCTAAGTGATAAAAAGATCTGATTTCTTTACAATCCCTACACAGGTTTAGGAAGGTGATTGAATAGATCTATTGTCCCTTAAAAAGAAGCTAAAAGAAGGAGATATCACAGCCTAGCTGTAACCACAACATGGCAACTGCCATTTTAAAGGTAAACATAGAAGAAGAAGACTAACTAAAAAAAGCTTGGGGGGGGGGGGGGGTGTCTTTGACCTATATGGCTTTTTAAAAACTTTTTAAATGCCAATTTGACATCCGATTTCCCTGTGTCCAGTGTGCAGTGAGGATAATCTGTCAATTAACTAACTAAACCAGTTTATGTAATGTGCTTATTGACTTCCATTGTACTGTGTAGTAATAAAATCCTGCTGTTGGTGTATTTTTCTGTAGTTGATCGTTTGAGTACATCATGTCACAGATTGCCACATAATTTGCTTGTCAGTAATGTATATACTTTGTTATGTATTTTTAGCATATAAAAAGTAAATAATTGACCCTTGTCATCCCAGAGAAATAGAAAATCAGCAATTGTTTGATAATATAATCAACATCATGTAGGATGCCTTTACTTTCCCCCAAAAAATATTTCATGTTACCCATTTTTTTATAAATTTGGGAGTCGAGGTCTATTATTAGAAAATCTGTCCCAGTGTGGATTCAAATCCAAGAGCTTCTGGCTAGCAGGCAATACATTTTGAAAAGAATATGAGTGCAGTCATAATTACAGTGCAGACCTGGTAAGAAAAACTCACCAGGGACACAAGAAATAGTTCGCATCAAAAATTCCTCTCATGCAGATAAGAGTTCAAGAACATGGTAATGAATTTACAACCTATTTCTAGACCTCCTTTCTCTCAATTACCTCATCTTCTTATTTTCCCACTCTCTCCGTTGCCATCTGAAGATGAAATCAAGCACCCAGTATGCATTTCAAAGCTCCAGTGATGATTCTTTTTTATTTTCAAGGTAAAAATCCCGAGAACAAATTCTTACACTTCAGAAAGTAACTGGTCACCTAGTATTACCCGCTTGTAAGAGAAGTGACAGGGGACATTCCGAAGGAGTCCATATGCCTGGCACGACCCCTCTTGCAAACCAGACATTTCACGCTGGCACGACCCCTCTTGCAAACCAGACATTTCACACTGGCACGAGCCCTCTTGCAAACCAGACATTTCACGCTGGCACGACCCCTCTTGCAAACCAGACATTTCATGCTGGCACGACCCCTCTTGCAAACCAGACATTTCACGCTGGCACGACCCCTCTTGCAAGCCAGACATTTCACGCTGGCACGACCCCTCTTGCAAGCCAAACATTTCACGCTGGCACGACCCCTCTTGCAAGCCAGACATTTCATGCTAAAGACTCCACAATCCTTTAGCACATAAGTCGGCATATCCAAAAATGTGTGATAAACGGATACCACTAAACTTGTAATTGTTTTCATTTTTTTTTTAGAAAGACAAAGAAGAAAAATTGTTGGGGATAAACAAAGTGTTCTTCACAACAAAAACTCACCATATCCGAGATGACCTTGATCTGTCTGCACTAAATTATGTAATTTTTTATTCATTGTCTGAAAAAACTGTTTACAGTGTGCAGCTATGTTCTTGTATGTAATAATTGCTAGGCCAGCGGCAAGTTAAAGAAACAAAACTGACTTAAATGAGTCTATTCACTTAAGCAGGCCAGCCAGGGCCCTTTTAGGGAATTGCCTCACGGCCAAATTTTTTTCAGTCTGAACCATTCAGAGATGAGTGAGGTTGACTTACATGTTTTGTGGGTCATCGACAGGCTACTGATTTTCGATTTTTTGCCATCAGGAGCTGTGTGCAGCCCACACCTTGTAGGTGTAAATATACAGTACAAGTTTCTGTGTGTTTCCATCTGTTCTCATTAATGATCTTCACCAGTCCCCAGCTTTTATTTCCTTTAGAACCAGTCTCTCATTGTTTTCCCATCTTCATTTTGAGCAATCCTGATTGTATTAAAAGGTAAAGGTGATCCCATGGAAGTTACTAGCAGTGAGGTGTGAAGTATTTTACCTTTACATATTCTAGGTCATGACAGAATGAGAAGAGATGACAGGCCACCTTTTCTTTCCTAGGGTATTCTAAAAATCATCTGGTTTCCATTTTATGAGTTTGGATTGATTCCAAAGCAATCATTATGTAGAATGTCCTTTGCAGAACATTACTCTTATTATGCTTACAATATGAAAGAGTCAGCTGATGAAACTTGAACATCCACAGAATGCAGCAAAGAGGGTGATTTTAGCATATACAAGAGACACCCCGGTAGTATGTATGTGATGCATCCTTGCACTGCCGACTATTAGAGAAAGGATCAAAGTGCTGCAAGCAAAACCATATCTCAGAGTAGCCGCATACAAGAAGCATCTCCTGCATAAAGCCCTAAGAATAGTTAAGGGTTACAGACTGAAAATAGAGAGGTCTTGGATGGCGCAAGCTGAAAACACAATTAGATATGGTTGCATGTTTGATAATATTGGACATGGAGAGCTGTTGGTCAGAGAGTCCAAGAGATAATCAGTCTTGTGTCTTGTTAGTTATAAACTCATTTTAACTTTAATTTTTTCTGAGCAGCAGATGATTTTATAAGTCTACGTCTGCACATCTGAAAATGTTTTTGTCAATTATGAGTGATTTGAATTTTTGGTTAGTACAGACGTACTCAGTTTGATTTTCTGTATTGTGGTCTGGTTATGTTCATGTTTTTGTATGAATTATTTTTGTATAGCATCTAGGACATATTGATTCACTGGGCAATAATATGTAAATAGTTATTTTCAATTTTCATTAATTACTCAGAGTTCTTGATTTTTCATAATCTCTGTGTTTTCCAATCCTATCTTGACTTTCCATTGCCCCATGTTGAGGGGAAAAGAACAGACCCAGTGGGCCCCAACAAGCATGTCATTGAAGGCAACTAATTAGGGACTTGCTGACTATTTGCCGTAAGACTAACTGTTTTTAAATAGCTTACACAAACTGGATTTAGCGAATATTTTAAATTATTTTTTAACTGTAGCTAGTTAAACTTACTCTTGCTTCGAATATTTTAAATTATTTTTTAACTGTAGCTAGTTAAACTTACTCTTGCTTCGAATATTTTAAATTATTTTTTAACTGTAGCTAGTTAAACTTACTCTTGCTTATATTTTAATCTTTTATTTTTAACCGGACAATATAGATGCACAGTAACCTTCAAACAAGCAACTTTGATTTTGCTGAAATCACAAACAAAACTGTATTTATGCCACCTTTCGTTTGTATTGCAATACAAACTGATAAATTGTGTGTAATGATTAAAGTAGTTATTGTATCTAACTCTGTACTTTAGTTGTGTGTGTTAAATTTTTATTGTGTTCAACAGTGTTTTATTTTTTTTTTTATTTTTTACAATGGCCAGTTCTTAGAATGAAGATGATGTCAATGATCTCTTGAGAATAAGCACACGTTCTGTCCATATATGTCAGGGCTGGGCAACCATTTTTGGTCCATGGGACAAATTTGGAATTACCAACCTAGTTGTGGGCCATATGGAAAAAAAACATCACTCGCCAGAATGATAGACTTGAGAGTTATGATCAGCACAGCAAAAATGAGACGCGTGCCAGGCACATCAGAGGACTTGTTAATCAACACAGAACTGGAACTATTACCCACCGGATGCTAGGGTTCATACTCATGGAAGGATCTGAGCACCTATGGACATGTCCGTAGTGCAATGATGATAACTCAACTAACTAACTAACTAATGGGAAACAGTTATTATAAACATAACACCCAGATTTCCTCATAACACAGTATTTTTGTAGGATAATCTAAGATTATAATCCCTCGCTACACTTCTGGTCAGACACAATCACTCATTAAAGCCTTTCTATATATTCCTAAATGTGTCTGTTCAAGCTAGTTATTTTTTTTTCTCTATTCTGTGAGCTCAAGAGCCAGATAATATGGTGATTTTACACCAATCTCATGGCCAGTATAAATTTCTCACCTGTGTGAAGTCTAAAGATTGTTACTTATTTACACATGTTTCAAGTTTGAACAACGGATCAACATCATGGCACATGGGTAGCAACCCATGTTCTTTTTCTAACTCTCAAGTATCTCAGCACAGTGCACATGCTCTGTAGCACCAGCGAGGATCCTGAAATACTTTGGGTAGATTTTTAACTCCAAATTTTGCTGGGCAGCACCGTTATGCTACTCTTTTTAATTTCCAACTGCCAAGGGATTTTTTACATGCGCGACATTGCACACGGGCGTCCGATCTCACTACCCAGAGACTGGAGGAAATTACTAGAAGTCCAAGTCCATTTGAAAAAATCCCAGCCCTTACTGTGGATTGAACCCGGAACCTCTAGCACTCAAGGCGGATACCATGCCTTGAGATCGTGCAGCCTACTTATTGACACAGAAATAACTGGTAATGTGCATCAGCTTAATAGTGGCCTGAATACTCAGTGAATCACTTTGCATTATTATATATCAAATGTTATTTTTAAATAAGGCTTTGTTTGCCAGTTTGTCAGCCTGTTCAGTTCCAGG